GTATACCCAATTCTTTGTCTGAAGATTCTCGCAAACACATATACCAAGTAAATCTGGATGGAAGAGGAAATTGTCTCCCTAAACGCAGCCAGATTATATTTTGAAGAATGGCGGCACAATTCAACGCGTCTTCCAGGTCAGCCCTAATTTATAGTTCGTAAGAGTATAAATTGCGATCTCCCTATTAAGCTTTCTTTGATAAAACTTCAGTAGAAACAAAACAACGCAGACATGACATTCTCCTGCATGAGACACAATCGGCTGAAGGAAATATCTGTTTACAAGTCGGGTAAATTATCCATTCTTGCGCACCGCAAAATCAGCTAAAATCATGAGCGCTTCTAAGAATACCACGTTTAGAACTTCGACGCGTAGGAAAAAAAGGCAGTTGTTCTATATCCTTTCTGTTTCACCCAGGTAGAAGTCCTGGCATGATATAGTTATGCCTGAGCGCTTCTAGGATATATAACACGTTTAGCATTTCAACCCGTAGCCGCAAAAAAAAAATTTAGGCATTGTTCTATATCCTTTCTGGTTCACCCAGGTAGAAGTCCTGGCATGATGTTATTATGCCTGAGCGCTTCTGGGATATATAACACGTTTAGCGTTTCGACCCGTAGCCGAAAAAAAGAAATTAGGCTGTTGTTCTATATCCTTTCTGGTTCACCCAGGTAGAAGTCCTGGCATGATGTTATTATGCCTGAGCGCTTCTAGGATATATAACACGTTTAGCATTTCGACCCGTAGCCGTAAAAAAAAATTTAGGCAGTTGTTCTATATCCTTTCTGGTTCACCCAGGTAGAAGTCCTGGCATGATGTTATTATGCCTGAGCGCTTCTAGGATATATAACACGTTTAGCATTTCGACCCGTAGCCGTAAAAAAAAATTTAGGCAGTTGTTCTATATCCTTTCTGGTTCACCCAGGTAGAAGTCCTGGCATGATGTTATTATGCCTGAGCGCTTCTGGGATATATAACACGTTTAGCAGCTCGACCTGTAGCCGTAAAAAAAAATTTAGGCAGTTGTTCTATATCCTTTCTGGTTCACCCAGGTAGAAGTCCTGGCATGATGTTATTATGCCTGAGCGCTTCTGGGATATATAACACGTTTAACATTTCGATCCGTAGCCGAAAAAAAGAAATTAGGCTGTTGTTCTATATCCTTTCTGATTCACCCAGGTAGAAGTCCTGGCATGATGTTATTATGCCTGAGCGCTTCTAGGATATATAACACGTTTAGCATTTCGATCCGTAGCCGAAAAAAAGAAATTAGGCTGTTGTTCTATATCCTTTCTGGTTCACCCAGGTAGAAGTCCTGGCATGATGTTATTATGCCTGAGCGCTTCTGGGATATATAACACGTTTAGCGTTTCGACCCGTAGCCGAAAAAAAATTAGGCTGTTGTTCTATATCCTTTCTGGTTCACCCAGGTAGAAGTCCTGGCATGATGTTATTATGCCTGAGCGCTTCTAGGATATATAACACGTTGGCAATGAAATCGACCGCAGACTTTAAAATGTTCTTTTTAGAAGGCCGCTGAATTATTTTTTCCGGACATTTTGTTTGATACCGCATTTTTAATTAATTTTATTTGTCGCCCCAGGATGATGACAGGATTGCGTGAAAATTGACGCCTCTATCATAGGGAATGTTGCAAGCTACTGGGTATACAGCTGAGATAGCTGACTTTTACTCAGCTATCTCAGCTGGATACTGATGGGTTTTTTTGGTTGCTAAGACCGTGCAGCTCGTTATGTCTTCTTGGAGAGCCTACACTCGATAAACAGTAATTTTACGAATATTTCTTGCAAGGCACTATTTTTATACATCATGTCTATGTGCCATGAAAACATCATAATTCTTAGTGCCTCTTATACTGAAAATATTCTAATTTGTTATGCATCCGAACTCTAATTAAACTTTCTTACCATACGAGTAGCGTAGAAGCCGTACATAGCCAAGTAATTTTCTTTTATGATAATATTCAATTGTTCCTTCCTTTCTTACTTAACTTTTATTTTACTTTTTTCATTTGTCATTGTTTTGGTACTGAAATCTTCGTGTCGAAGATAAAGTCAACAAAGTTGTTGTTGTTGTTGGCATTAGGGTAACGCAGAATCTGGGGACGATTCCCTTTCCCTCACCTTCCCTTCAAACTCCTGCCACGCAAGCCCCAGGACGCAGGCTAAGTTAGCACTGATATATGGGAGATACGGAATCGCATTTACAACAAATGGCAAACTTGAGATGCAAGATGGTGGTTTGTCGACTTGTGAAATGAGCAGAAAAAAACTGTCTAAAATAAATCTGATCGTTAGCGTGACATCAAATATTTTTTTTGTTGTTGTTGAAATAATAAACAATTATGGGATGAGGTTTTTGTGTTTTTCCGGAATAATCAAGATCGATCTAAGAGGTCGACCTTGATTATTCCAGGCAACACAAAAAGTGAATCTAACGGTTGTATTGGAGAAAATAACGACAAACTCACTGTCGCACGGAACACAGCTTGACATCTCTCTGGGAAATAATGCATTGCGAGCGCAACCAGCAGTCGTAGTCAAAGGCTTCTGACCCATGGCTATGCTCACAATATAATGGATAGCTTGTGCGCCGACACTTAAGCCTTACGTATAAGGGCTTCTCAGTGTTTCCAAGTAAGAACCGTAATTTCGGAGCGACTTCTATAACGGAAGGAGGCTGCTTCGCGACCATCTTGAAAGCGGCTCACCTCATATCGGATAGGTTTTAAATGAGTTAGAGCGAGGACTCGAACGGTCGAACCAACTGAGGTGGAAATAATCAGTTCAATCAAGGAATGAGGTCAAGAGAGGAGTCTTGATGGGTCGATTGTCGATTAAGTGTACCAACCTTCTCCTCCAATTGCTCCCGGGTAGGATGTTCGATGTGTGTTAACGACTGGTTCCAGTTCTGTATTGTTGCCGTTCATACTGCAATCAATTCTCGCCGTGCGGACACCCCGCTATAAAGGACACCCCGTTGAAGCCACAAATGTAAGAAAGCCTTCAAATGAACTACTTAATTGACCACAAATGTAATGAAACCGTCAAATGCTATCTAAACCGTATATACTCGAAGGAGCGCTTCCCTCAATTTAAGTACGGGACAAAAATAACTCAGTTTCGAAAATCAAAAAACAATGTTCTATTGCATTTAATCGAATTAGCGCCGCCCTCAAATAACCTGGCATCTTTAAGTACGAAAATCAATAAGCACCGTGGTGCTCTTTCAAAAAATACAATATTAAATGTTTCTTGTCCAGAGAGAGGGCGCTCCTTTTTCTCGCTATTTCCGATTTTTTTACATTGCTAATTGAATGCTCTCTGTACAAATTATTACCCTCCCCAGGGATAAGCTGGAGTTCCCAGGTCAAATATTAAACAATGAAAGGTCAGATATTGATTAAACATCAATGTTTTGTGTGCGAATTTCAGCTGAGTGTTAATACGCAACCTTGCAATTCTACTTAGATAATAGATTTTGATCATTTATTAGGAGTATGACGTACTCTACGATAAATAAAATTTGAAGTTGTATTTGGAGATACTTAATTTTTAAATACCATATTCTTTAGAAGACATAAAAGTTCAAACCAAAACAAGGTTTAAACTTACATCAATATGCTTCAAGCTTACATTAGCAATGGTAATCAACATATTTAAAAGTTTGATAAACAAGAAAATGGAATTATTATTACCAAGAGGCAATACAGTGTAAAAAACAAAAACTTGCAAATTTATGACGAAAAATGTACTTTAAAAACGAACTAAACTATTCAAAACGCTCCTATCGCGTGACTGATGACGTCATGTCCCTCTTTTGACCAAAAAAAATTATTATTATCATTAGGTAGAACGTTACTTCCCTGCACATTTCACTACTGCCGTGTGATGTAACGTCGCCTAGTCTCCCGCCGTTTTCGCTCATGTTCATTGTCCCCTTAAATTTTAAATGCCGGATGTCAACTGGTTATTTTTAAATGCCCCAAACAACCAAAACCTATAACTCGATAATGACGTGACTGAAGACGTCATTACCCTAAATATGAGATGGGAAGATATCATATGCCAAATCAGTATGTTATCTTGTTGTGGTCTGACATTCTTCTACGTATAAACTTGTCAAAGTTATAAACAAAGCCTATTTAAAAAAATTGCCTTAAAGGATTCTGGGAGATTTTTTATGACAATTATAATTTACTTAGTAATTATTTTTGTTATTATTATTGTTGTTGTTGTTATTGTTATTACAAAGTATCATACATTATTATTATCGTTATTATTATTATCATTATTATTATTATTATCGTCACCATCATTATACTGTTATTATTTAATTACGTGATTCGTTCCAGCAATTTCCATATTGTACGACGCGAGGCTAAAGGACCGGGGACTGTTTCCCGCCTTTAAAGGCCCGGACATTTTTCGGGCCCCAAGACAAATTTTAATATCAAAAACTGTTGAATATTAGCAGAGTTCCTAGCGCACAAACCGGTCAGTTTTGCTTTGTTAACTGATAGTTCCATTGTATCGTTTTTAAAATCATTGAAACGTTGATCTTGAATATGTAAACACGGCGAACGCAAACCAGCTTTCCGGGCCCGAACAGTTACCGGAACTTTCGATAAAACAGGCCCCAGGATCGAAAATATAGTAATAACAGTCAATACACCAGTTGCCAAGCATTTTCATAGTTAAATGTATGAAGTTAAAAGACACTCAAGTCTCAAACTATTGTAATTCACAGTGTACTCAGAAAAAATGTTTTTCCAGTTTAGGAAAACTGAGAATCTATAAGAAAAAACAACATGCATACCGAGTCATCAGAGTGCATCCGTTGTGCATTTTAAACAATGATTTAACACAATTTTGTGCTTTCTTCTGGTGATCCGATAGAAGATCCAAGGGTATGATAAATTCGGACGAAACAAGCGTAGCTAGTTGCAAATTTAACAGCAAAATGTCATCTTGCAGTCTGGCTGATCTTTCCTTGCCGGATAGCACTACTTTTTTGTAGCTATAGAGATGCATCTCCTTTGTTAACTGGTTAAAAAATACTATTTGTGATAACTCTCCTAAAAGCTTTTCGAAACCTAGCGGTACGTAATGAGTAAACAATCGGGTTCAGCACTGGGTGCAGAAGTGTCAAACAAACCACATAGTGCCAATTGTATTCGCAAAGACATGCACTGCACCATGCATTTATGTTTACAGCGACAGATACTGGAATCCAACAAACCGTAAATACCAAAACCAATATGAATGTTGTGTACGCCACACTTCTCTCCTTCATTTTCAGCTTTTGCACCAGGTGAGAATTTTCTGTCAAAGACTGTCCTTCTAATAACCGTTCCCTTTCTACATTGCGATACAACTGTCTTCTTACCAGAACGTAAATCCCCGTGTAGCAACAAAAAACAATGATTGTTATAGGGATGCAGATGAAGTTAAAACCCCAAGATACATCAGATTTTAAATACAAGTCCCAACGTATAATGGAAGGCAGCGCCAAGGTTAAAGCTGATAACCACACTGCCATAAAACAAAGATTTCTGTTACAAGTCGTCAGTTTGACTCTTCTTAAGGGGAAAGCGATGACAATGAGCAGTTTCACTGCAAGGATAAGGATCGTAAAAATCGAAGCAAGAAGCGCTACGTTTATGACAGAATACCCTGCTTGTATAAGCGTACGGTTGTCAGGAAACCAATGATGAAGTCCAAGCAGTAGCTGGCCGGGAAAGCCGACGAGAAAATCGCACACAGCAAGGTTTAAAATGAAGTAGTTGGCGGCTGTTCCCCTAAGCTCCTTGTATGGATCTTGGCATATTACCAGTATTACTGCAGCGTTTAAGGTAACTGCTAATGGACACAGCGAGAAGACAATTACCGCTTCCGGAAAGGACACTTCCTCTAAAAGAGAAGAAAACGATGCGGATCTTGTATCAGTACTCAGCTGACCTTTGTTGTGAAGTATTTTGTAGGTTATTTTTAGTGTATTTCTTGTTTGTGCTTGACGTTTCACTCGTGACTAGAGTCTTGTTATGATCAGTTTATAGATCAAGGTTAATTCGTATTTGTGTCGACGGATTTTCAAATTCTATTACCTTTTAAAGTAGTTTTTCAACATGAATGTCATTTATTGAATTTGAGTGTCAGTCCTTGAAGTGGGCACGTTTTGGAACCATCGCTGACCTTGATTGTCACCTACATCAGAGTTCCTGTTTTGGTTTAAGGAGAGCCTCGAGGGTTTAGCTGTCACGCTTTCATTGGTTTTCTTATGGGTTTGTTTATTCCACTTTGGTTATCAACAGGAAATTTGTTTAAGTCATCAGGGGCACCCCACGAGGATATAGTTCAAAACCACTTAACATAGCATTGTTGAACGTATTTTAGTATTTAAACGGTAGATATAGGCATATTTTTATCCCCTAAAAACTTTTCATCTGTTCGGATTTCCTAGCTGAAAGTCTAGTGATCCGAAAATTATAGGGGTCAAAACTTACCTTTTCGAAAATTTCAGCCAGGAAAAGGCTCGCGAAAATTCTAGCTGGCCTTTTTTAGGGTAAATATCCGTTTAAAATGGGTGATTATACCATTTTGTAGATGTTCGAAAATCCTAGGAGAGGCAGGCAAGCAAGAAATTTTACAACAAATGTTCCGAAAATTCTAGTTCTCAAATCGTCTCCCAAACAGATATTTTCCCGAAAATTGCCGTTGGGTGCCCCTGAGTCATTCGGAAAAGCGTTTGTAACTCTCATGGCCAGCAAGCCTGAACGTACCTACGTGTTGCTCATATAAGTGGCCAGCACTTAGCACAAGGTAGTTAGTAGTTGAGATTAGTTACAGTTAGTTGTCGAGCAGTGAATTCGTTAAGTGATGCTGTAAGCAAGACATACGAGCTGCTGTTTAGATTAAAGAACACCAAAATGTAAACTCTGGTACCTGGTACCTCTACGCTCAGCGAGCGCCGGAGTTGTCCGTAAACCCCCTACACCTTTTATACGTAATGCATGAGAAAAAAAAAAAACGACAAATTTTTGTATAAAATGGTAACCGAGCTGATTGTTCCTATGTTGAGAGTCTTTCTCAGTGGGTGATAGCATTTTACGTTTTGAATCGCTGAGTATACTGTCCAGCCGTTGACTAGGATCACAGTTATGAACGTCAAAACCGTGTATCTTACATCAACAAAGTACGCTTGAAAAGGGTGTACGAAATTAAAACAAACCAAATCGAAACTCACCTTCTGTGCAATTCATTGTAAAGTCTCCAGTAAGCCGGCTCTACCCAATTGTAGTTATCACTCACCGTCGTAGTCTTCCCTATTTCTATGGGCAGTTACACAGTTTGTTGAATTGAACAAGGCTTCTCTCTGCTTTTACTTATTGCATTCATTCGGGTCAATGCCTATAAACATAAACGACTATGTTTCTTCCGCTCTTTCCTTGAAGAAATCATCGGCATGCCACGCGATTATATATACTGAGCAGGAAATTATTGCATCAATTGCATCATACTCAGCATTTCTTACGTGGTTATAGGGTGGCAAAGGAATACTAAGAAATGACCTTAGTAATACACGAAATGAGGGAGTGAAGAGACACTCAAAATTTATGAAAATAGAGCTTGATTGTCTTTTCCAAAAATAGTCAAAAGCCATTAATGGGTGGGAAGGCTGACTGGCTTGGAGCATTATGCCGGGGAATCTCCCTTTCGATGTGTCATCCGCCCCTGACCTCGTGATCCGAATGATTACGCACCCAATTCTTCGACTGTAATCAGGTCTAATCAAGGGATCGGTTTATAAGCCTTCAGTCTTCCTGAACCACCGCCACTACTATCTCTCTTAGTCTCCTAAAGTACGTTATATTTATTTATTTATTGTCGCAACAGGCCTTTTATGGCTCTTGTTTGTAACTATTACCCATATTTAGCTGTCTGTTTTAGGATACCATATTTTAGGGGTCAACAAAGGTTCAAACACGTTGAGATTTCTTGGACAAAATAAAATTGAACAGCAAACCCCAACCCCCCTCCCCCAAATCAAGGATGAAGCCGTGCGAAGGCCAAAAACGCGCCATTTTCCCATCTTTGATTGTGGGGGGGGGGGGGTGTAGCTTACGGCTTTATCACATCCGTACCCCTCCCTCCGCCTCCCGCTCCCCCTCCCCGCTCCGAGGTCATGGAGCTCCAAAAACGCAAGATATCTATGAACGTTGATATTGCCATCGAACCAGACATGGATTTTTCCTAAGGATTCCTCTGAAGAAATACGTGTTCAGACGTCTCAATACACAGAACTGTATGAATGTTTCGTCCATCAAGAAGGAAGTTCAGGAAGAAACGTTGCACCTTTCACGCTCCCAGGACGGAGGTAACTTGATGATACATTTACTATAATACTTTGCTTATCCAGCGTAAAACATAGGAAAACATTTTTCATATCAGATCTCCTATTGCACGATCACGCACGTTTATTCGTCAGAACGACTAAGCTGACGAATAATTGGCTTGCAAGTGTACTGCCATCGCGTGAGTGGTCATTCTCCCAGACAAAGATTCGTTTGAATTGTTTGGATACACCACGACGGATTCGTGGGTGGGCTGGAGTAGCCTTTTGATGGAGCTCTTTTGGTCTAAATTGTGCTCAAATGGCTCCAGAAGGGGGTAAGAAAGGGGCCTTAATTTGACCTGCAAGGCTGAATTGGCACTTCGGGGCTGAACTGAGATCTCTTTAATTTTCAGTGGAGTAGATGCTACAATACTCTTCACAAATCGTTGAAACAGGAGCCATTTGTCTTGGATTTTTTCCAAATTTCTTACATTCACTCTTCACACCTTTGTTCTCACTCAAATGTGCCCTACCTCCTTTCCCAATGTTGAGCCGAGCGTATTTTGGAGCACTGAAATGACTGCAAACCCAAATCAACATTGGGGAGCGGAAAATCACACAATTGTTTCAAGATTTGTGACGAGGATTGTAGAACACTTTGCCAAGTACTGGAAGCACTGTGATCGGGCGATAATTTTCTCTATCTTGTTTGATAATAATAATAATAATAATAATAATAATAATAATAATAATAATAATAATAATTAAAAATTTATAACACGCCTTTTCCATGCAAATATGATCAAAAGCACGTCTCCCTTTCTGAATAAGGGTGTCCATTCCTCCATTTTCCACTTCATAGGCCAGGAGCCCTCGTCAATACAGTGTTTCAATGTTGCCCCCAAAGATTGAGCAATAGCGGAAGCAGATTTCTTAAGGAGTATGGGTACAATAGGAGAGTCCCAACCAAGCGATTTCCTAGGAATAATGTTTTCAAGAACATCTGACACATCTTTTTCAGGAATTGCGTGGAAATTGAAATCCAAGGCTACATCATTATATTTTCTAGTTTAAAGACTTGATGCTTGCGTGATGTTGGTGATCCTTCTCACGTAAATCATGTACGTGTTGCCCTCCGCTACGTTAGCAAAGTAATCTGCAAAACAATTAGCAACAATGACCACATCGATCATTCTCCATCACATTTCCATCTGTATTCGGATTGATGGGATTTTTCTCAATAGTTTTGTTGCTAATGAATGGCTGAAAAGTGTAAAAAAATCTCTTGGGTTTTTTCCTTCATCTTTTCCGATTTAGTTTTCCATATAATGTTTAATTGCTTTCCTGCACTCTTTCGTGGCCAAATTTCTGTACTTCTTCTTAAGCTCGAAGTTTTCATCAGTTTTGTTTCTTGCATATAATTTCGCAAACTTTCTCATATATTTGATTGCTTTTTTCCAATCTATGGTCATGTACGGGACATCGCTTTCTCGCACTCGTTATTAGCCTGCATAGCATGGGGGTTTTGTTGGGTGCACTAAATAATAAAGACAGGAGAGGGCAGAAAAACCGCGAGGAGATTGGGGCGGGAGCTATTTGGTTTTTATTTTTTTCGCGGCTTTATCGCTCGTTTGCGCGCCCTTTACGCGCGTTTTTGCGGCTTCGCCGCTCAGTGGTGCTCCCGACAAAACTGCTATGGTATGCAGGCTAACTCGTTTTCTCCTAGTTGGTGTATGCTAATCGACTGTGTAATTCATCAATCCGTTCCAGTAATTGATTTTAGTTTTTCCCAAATCGGTGAATAGCAATTTTTGCGTCTTTTGATTGGCTCCTGTAACTCGGAATATCCATGGCTATTCACCGTTTTGCGACCGGAGCCAAGATGGCGTCTCGTTTCGAGACTTTTCCCGCGGAAAACGAAATTTGAGCTATAAATGAAGCATTCGTACAAACAAATACAGGAGAGCGACGAACTTTGGCTTGTCGGTGATTACTGGTAGGTATAAAATTATTTTCATGCTGAATTTGCAAAAAAATCGTAAAAATTCACTTGACAAAATCCCCGAAATGTTTGTAAATTGTAAACAAAGTTCCTACTAAGTGACGTTTTTACTTTGAAAAAGGTTACTTTTTTCATTTTTATCTAACTTATTTGGTAAATACTAAATCAACTATCCCCCTTAGGATCGGTCAACAGCGTTAGATATATACCTCGACGCTTCGCGTCTAGGTATATCCACACCACTATTCACCTCCTCTTCGGGGGATAGTTGT